CTTTCTTTTATTGACTTCATTTTGAATTATAACCATCGAGGTTCAAACTGAACCTGATTGTCTCGTTAAGGCATTTACACCCTTCCTAATGACCCTCCTCTGAACAAACGTCTGTTAGAAGAATGAACGACATCAGGAAAAAATCTTAAAACTTGAACCAGAGTTTTTTTTTTCCACAAACACAAGGACTCACTTTCTCAAATCCAAACAAGGATGTTCTGCTGAAAAAACAGTGAAGTCTCTGCATCTATTTCATCATGTTAACGGACAATATAAAGGGTCATAACCCAAGACTTTCCCACACATATTACAGTGTGAGCAGGTCTTTGCACGGTGAAACCATGTCCTAACTTCAACCAGTGTACAAGACTTTTATGACACCGTCTCAAACCACAACTTTGTGAGTCATTTCTCGATATTTTATTATTTGCAAAAGAGAGGCTCCCTTTATTCCTTATCATGGTGAAGCAAGCCACTGTTTCATTAAAATGTCGCAGTAATCCATGACAGCATGACAGAGATCCCGCATCCAACATCCTGCATACCCAGACTGGTGTCAGCACTTTTCCAGGCTAATCTGACCTTTGCTTTGGTCTGAGCTGGAAAGAGCTATGTGGGGGGTTTAGGAGGGTTATCAAACTCTATGAACCAAAAAGGATGATAAAGGTTAAAGACCCCCCACCACACACACACACACACACACCAAAATAAAACCTAACCCCTGTAGGAGGCGGAGAGGGCTGTACTTTAGACCATTTTTACACATTCACATTATTCTGATAAGTCCAATCACAGAAGGAAAACATTTGAACGGATGTATTTGTATTTGTAACTGTGCAGGTTTCAATCATATCTGATATTCTGAAGCTGCTCCAAACAAACAATAATAAGAGGACAAGACACATTTTTAAATCTTGATTTAAAGTGACTGATTCTGCATTCGAGTGTCAGGGAATAAATACCATTCATCTTTGATCAAACCACTGATCACACATACCTCTACAGCAGCTGTCAATATCCTTTTAAATAAAGATAAGTGTAAAGATAAAACTGTAACCAGAGGGTTGTATAGTGCAGGCCGACACAAAGAAGCGAGTGTGCAGAGAAATGTTGATGTGGTATACTTGGAAACTGTCCAGTTAAAAACACTATTGTGTGGGTGGAGTCCAATGAGTCATCAAATGGAAAGTTAATAACGATCAGGAGGTTCATACCCTGACTTATGGCACTCGTAGACGTGTTGAGTCAGACTACGAGCATCATGTTTAATATAAGCACACCTGTGACTCTGGTGCTGAAGATAACAGGTGTTTAAATACCAACCTGGTACATGTACTTAAATTTGACACAATTGATGCTGTTTTTGATTCAGAATGGTTAATTAATCTGTGCGGTAGAAGACTCATGGTACACTTTTGTCCATAATCTGGTATATTGTCAGGGCTAGCAACAGTCTCACCATGACTCACAGTCAAACCAGTGGGTCTGTGTTCACAGTCTTTTTCCTCCTGGAAATGTTTATAAGTCTAACAACCATTTAAAGCAGGATTGCATGTTTGCTATCATCCAAAATGCAAGTACAGACAGGCACCATCTGTTTCTCAAAATTTATGCCAAGCTTGGACTGCAGTCAAAAAACATCCTTGAGATGAAAAACATGATCCTAATGTCTTCTCTGCAGTAGCAAACACAGCCCATCATTCACAGACTATCTCTGGATGACCACTAGCACTGTCACACACAGCCTGGGCGTGAAGACTGTCCCGAGCCATCTACCCTTCCTCTTCTTCCATCTGCTCTTTCTGTTGTTTATCTTGCATGAGTAGTGTTGATAGCATTTATGGGAGCTGGCAGTTTGTGGTTGTGGCTTGCCGCCTCGCCTAATGGCCTACTACTGTATGATTGATGGATAGTTGGAGAAAAAGCTAAACATGTCTGGCGTTTTTCCTCCCCCTCCATCTCTCTTAATGTCCCTTTTTTTGTAACATAAACTGAGCCCTGAATGAGGTAACACTGTTATGAAAAACACACAAATCTCAATAATAATTTATTCTCTTCTACAATCTGTACAATCCATGGAACCTTGCAGCCACTAGGACAGGAAGCAGGGTTTACACAACACAAAGCTTTATCATTATGCACGGATGAGAAGAGCCCTCATTGTGGAGACCTGCTGCATAATATGGGTCATATAATGACCACTGGAAAGGGATAGCAGGGTTGCAAGCACCCTTCACATGTCTTCTACTCTTCATGTTTTCTCTCTCTCAGGCTGAGGTCAGACAAATCAGACTTGACAAGTGCTTTTGAGACTAAACAACCACTCTCAAGGAAATGCTTGTCACGCTGTGGTGAAGCTGTGCACACAAGACCACGAGGGATGGGGAGGAATGTGAGAGCCTTTTAACATGCTACAGCGTTCCTCAGTCCAGTATTAGTATAATTACAAACATAAGAAACAATTATGTACCACTCGATGGTGCAGAAACACTCACATAATGAACTACTATTATGATGTTGTTATGAAAAAAACGACAAACTACTTCTACTGCTGATGACTGCTCTTAGTCTGTTTTGCATATGTGTGGAGAATGATTGGTCTGTGGTCCTTCCCCCTGTGGAGGTTTCCAAAACGCCTTTTTGATTCTGAGCAGTTACCTTTATTGTTTTACTTTTTCTGTATCCATTCAAGCATGTTAGGTTTATCAGTTCTCAAGCTGGAGTCAAACACTGAATGTTTCCTGAAGAACTGAAAAGTCTCTCAGATGAGACACAGGTGGCAGGGACACAAAGGACCTTCCTTGCTCTTTTGTTGTTGTTATTATTATTATTATTATTATTATTATTATTATTATTATTATCATTATTATCATTATTATTATTATCCATCCATTTTCTGCCACTTATTTCCGTTCCCGCCACTTATTCCCGTTCCCGGGCAGAGCAGGGGACACCCTGGACAAGTCGCCAGTTCATCGCAGGGCTGACATATAGAGATGAACAACCATCCACACTCACATTCACACTTACGGGCAATTTGGAAGTGGCCAATTAACCTAACCCCACAAGGTATTGATATTTTGTTTCTTTCATGCCACCATTAGCTTTAATACGGGTAAACTGCAACAGCCTTAATGCAAATAATTAAAATCCTAAATTAATTATTTTCTCATATTTTTTGCAAAGACAGTATTTTAAATGTGGAGATTAAGGGGCAGCTGTGGCTCAGTGGTAGAGTTGCTTATCTCTCATAAGGGGATTTGATCCTGAGTCCTGCTGTCCACATGCCAAGGTGTCCTTGGGCAGGACTCTAGACCCTGAACTGCCCCTGCTGGTCGTACCCAGCACTACATGGAATTAGTTAGCACTGATAAGTGCTTTACAGTCATTGTCAGAAAACTGTAGTTGAATATAGTCATACTTCAGTCTTTTTATCTTGTGTTGTTTTAGTCAAGATTTCATCAGAGGATCTCAGTTTTAAGTAAAAGACTTTTTTGAAAAGCACAATAAGTCCCTCCTCACTGTGTCTCAGGGTCTACAAATGAGTCTGAAGAAATCATAAATCATGTTTTTTGATCAAAGTCTCTTTACTGTAGATTTTTACATGTACAATAATGAAAACAGTATCAGACAGTATCTCCATCTGATCCAGACCCCACATAAAGATGTCAATAAAACCCAAAACAAACCCAACCCATAAGCCCACCAACTAAAAACATCACACACAGTTAGTGTTAGTGTTCCCACATTTCCATCAGCAACAAGTAGAAAAGAGAAGAACCATGAGGGCACATTTCCTGCTCCAAAAAACAGAAAAAGGTTTCCAGGTTTCAGCAAATCTCAGCACAGACCCTGAAAGAGGGAATCTTATTTCGCTGGTTTGATGTGTTTCGTGATCTCTGGGGAGGATGGGGGTCTTTTCTTCTGGACAGTATGAGGCCAGCACATTATATTTACACTTATTTAGACCCTCCAGGAAATTATCGCAGATTTCAAAGTCCTCTGTGGAAATTACAGCAGTCCGCCGAATACAAGGCGAGGTGCAGGATATGATATTTGAGGACCTGATTTTAAAACGACAGAAAACGATCACGACCACAATCCCCATTAAAACCTGCTGAGGACAGAGAAAGGGTTTGCTGTTGTGTTGTAGTTTAGTTTTCATAGTTTTAATAGTTGTAATTGGTTTATCCACTCGGACCCGGTGTCCGCACATGTGCGGGTCAGACCGTGACATGAGCCTCTCATCTCCAGTCTTTAACTTCACAAGGACGAGATGAAACAACAGATTTTACTCTGATTTTGCTACAGGGGGTTGGAGCATGTCTAAAATGGTGTGTTTTAACATTTCACTGACCTATTTTAATCATTTTTTAAAGATTTTAAACACTTTATGCACGTTTTAAGGACATGAGTGACTCCGGTGGAAAAGAGGAAGCTGAAGAAGCCGCCAGGTAACTTCACCGTCAGGTAACTTCACCGTCAGGTAACTTCACCCCACTATCATAAAACACATCAGAACATCCTCCTCTTTAAAATGAGAACAGTCTTACCTCACTACGATGTTTATGTACCCCTCCAGTTTCACAACGGTAAGCAGGTAAAGTTTCCACAGGAACAGAAAATAGACAAAAGTAATCCATTCTCGTCATTCTCGAAATTCGCCGGTAAACTTTGTTTTCAGTCTTTTTTTTTCATGAAGTTCCTCACAAGCTAAAAACAAACATTTCCTTCTGATTGAACCACAAAAATGCCAATCAAGCTGACAGACATTTCAGTCTGGCCAATCATAGCCTAAAGCTCACTGTCCATACCTGCCCATCTATACAGTGATTGGATGACTCAGTTCAGTTTGCTTGTAGTCGATTCATTCTGCCAATGGAAAGCTCTCAGACGAGGGGTTGATCCAGGTAATCTCCACCGATTGGCTGAGATACAAGCCTGCGCAGCCCTGCAGCGCGAAGCCAAGTAGCTACGGCGATGCTAAATGCTAACGCTAACAGGAGCACACAGATAGTGCTGTTTACTTTGATGCTGACTGGGCCCCATTTCTGTATCAAAAGTATTTATCTGTATCATCTCGGGATTTAATTGGAAGCAACACTTTTGTTTTAAAAAGCCTGCGCAGTGATGTTGTTGAGTGATGAAGCAGCTTGGAAAGTTTAATGAGTAAGTACAACAGATATTTCAGACAGAGTAATATCTTCAACCCACACTCTCATTCATGTCAAGTACTGAAAACTGTTTAACAGAAAGTCCAGAGTAAGGAGTTTGAACCCCATAAAGACCCCACAAGATGTACATCTGACCAAGAGGACTTATTGTTTGGATATATTTACAATAAATATATGTTATATTTTATCATAGACAAATATGTTAAAAAAATATAACAATTATGTCATATTTTGTCTTAGACAAGCCCAGATTGTATGAAAAAGCTGGGCCTAGCTTGTTTACACCTATCAGAAATAGGACCTGATTTTAGACAGCCTACCCTCTGAGCAGAGGAGCCCATGTACTATTTGTTGTACGACGTGTTTTTTACACACGGTTTGCACAGGAGGATGTGTAAATTCTGTCCATTATTTTTGTCCAGTCATTATCTGGAACTCGCTCATCTAAGTCCTGTTCCCATTTATTTTCTAATTGAATTAAAGCTGCAGAATTATGTTGATTAAGAAGGTTATATATCTTTGCTTTAAAATGTTTTAAGTTTATCCTAAGTTTTTTTGTTGTTACTGTTGCATTTTTTTTTTTTGATCAAGGTCTTTTTATTTAGTTTTACAAATTATATTTACAAATTAACAAGAGTCCAACAGAACAGGACTGTAAATCCCATCCACCCCCACAAATAACAGACTTACAGAATTCACAGAATGTAATACATAGTTCAAAATATACAATTCACATAGCCAGATAAAAAAAATGAAATGTGATAATAATGATGACTGAGGACAACAGCAGAGGTTTACAGTACTATATTGTCTGCCTCCATGTCTTCAACAAACATTAAGAAAGGCTGCCAAATGTAATAACATTTTCTAGTAGACCCCCTGATTGTGTATCTATTCTTCTCCAACCTGATATGGAACTTTAAAATTAAGTTTTCTGCTTGTTGTGTTGAATGGAAATGAAATTCCACTTTCAGCATTTGGGTAAATGACTGTTCATCCTTCTAAATCCACAATTTCATCCGTCTGTTGCGTAAAACATTCATTGTTTGCTTCTCTTTGCATTGTGCAATAGGAAATAATCTGCCCTGATCTAACCCTCTAATGATTCTCAAACAGACAAGGCAAACTTTCCAGACAATTAATCTGAGAGGAGCAATGGATTTAGCCTCCATTGGCAATTTTCAGAGTTCACTTTAGGGATACAGACTCCCATGGTCAAGGGTCTATGATCAGAGATGAGCGAAGACTGATACTCAGCTACCAGTGAAAGAAGTTTGTAGTCAATAAAATAATAATCTATCTGCAAGGATGTCTTTTGAACAAATGAATAGACCTTGGTTGTTGGAGGGTTTGTGCCGATTTAGACTGTGATGTTGTCTTGGAGGAACTACAGTCTAGATTAGGAGAGAGTCTGTGTTCATTCCCTGATGTGATGGTATTCTTCACGCAGGTCATAGCCTCATCTGTGTTCAGAAATGACTTGTCATCTTCCCCGTATGAGACATAGAGTAGAGCTGAGAATGATATTCCATTGTGGGTATCTCGTTGGCCTTGAAGCAGATTCCTGGCGTTGTTGAACGCAGCCTGGGACTTGGCAACACTTTCAGTGTAATCAAAGAAAATGGATATATATTCTCCATAGCACTGGAGAGGGGCTCATTCTCCAGCACAAAGGAGAACATTAACACAGTCGGTCAATCAGGATATCTTTATCCAAAATCAGACTTTCTTCCAGTAACTTGGAAATTTATCTAAACTTTATTCCTCTGCTGTCTGGTCTCCAAGTCTTCATTCTTCACCTCTACCTAACAGTTTTGTCCTAGTGTCAGGGTATTTAGCAATAAAGTCTGGTACAAATGTAGTTAAAGTGGAACCAGACTGGAATGATGTCTTGTTCACTTGATAATTAAAAACTGAAGAAGTTTTTTGGAATCTTTAAACATAATTTGCAGTATGACTTGTGCAATGAAGAAATTATATTTAGGCTTTTTTAACTATCATTCACATTTTGATCAATGAGGGCTGGAGAAGGAAAGAGAGGATGGGAAAGAGGCTATACTGCAACTATAAGAAGTGATGTCAGATCTGAAAAATAGTTTTTGTGACAACAACACAGAAAGACAGCTCCCATCAAAACCAGACCATTTTTAGCGCTAACTGTGGTGTTAGCAAGATGCCAACATCCTATCCTACCAAGTTTAAGCACGGCATTGTTATTTCTATCTTAGAAATCACACCAAGTACAAAACTTGAAGCGCAACTAATTAAGGAAAAAAAGTCGTTCATATTCAGCCTGGTCCAGTGGAGTCGTCTGGTCCATTCCAGTGGGTATACTCCTTTTTTCAGTGAGTTCCTGAGCTATCCTGTGTGCCCTAGACGTCTCATGCCGTTGAATTTTGTTACTGTAGGACGCTAGAGCTGTTTGTCTGTCATTACACCTGTTCCACAGATACATATATCCTTTTCTCTGTGAGGATCTCAGTTGATTTTGTTGCAGATAGCACAACCTGGAGGTAAACAAAAACAAAATCAATTAACCCTATAATACAAATTGTCTTTTTTGTAGCTATGGTTAAGAAAATGCATGGAAAATATTCAAAAGGAGGCAAAAATGTCACTCTTTCTGTAGCTCAAATTATGTGACAACTGTATCCAACATATGAGTTAGTCATGGTGTACATGGTGTCTTGATGATTGAACTATATTAAGATTGACATATATTATTTAATTAACGCTTCACAGTTTATCTGTGTTGTCAAATATTTATCTAACTTTCAGTTTCTCTACTCTAACCAAGGATATATGTGTTTAAATTCTCTTGCCTGACTCTCACTCCACAAAGCTGGCCAGGTCAAGTTCTCATCTACAATGCACACAGTAACAGACACACACAGAGCAGCAGCAACCACACCTACTTAACTTCAACCATACCAGCACTAGTTAGCTTGTTTTCAATGAGCAAATCACCTATTCTTCAATAGTGGTTACTATTAAATTACTAAATTATGACTGAAATTATAACATTGACCAACCAGGTACGACGATAGTGTCAGTATCCTCCCCCTCCCCATTATCAGGTATATTGGCTGTGTCCGCTGCAGAGTCATCATCAGGTCCCCCTTTCAAGTCGCTTCCATTAGCAGTAGCTGTAGTTTTCCTCGAAGTGGCAGTAGAAACAGACGCAGTAGGCTTATGGAAACACTGAAACAGTGTGATTTACTTTCTTTTCATTTTCCCTTTTCTTTTCAATCAATCAATCAATCAACTTTATTTATATAGCACATTTAAAATAACCACAAGGGTAGCCAAAGTGCTGTACAGTGACATAAAAACAAATAAAACAATCAAAAAACAAGATAACGCAAGCAGAAATACAATAACGCAAAAGAATAAATAAGTGTATAAATAAGGAGGCTCACGGCAAGTGCTAAGATGATAAAAAAACAAATTAACACTACAATGTACTAAAAGCCAATTCACCCCTTTTGGATCGATCAACAACATTCCTCCCATTCCGACATACAATGTCACTTAACTTCCTCAACAGCAACGGCTGGTCCGCATCATGCTTGACGGAGGCCCCTATGGTCCAAAAGTGTCTGCTTTGTAATACAGGAAAGGCGAACTTATGAACAAAAAAGTGAGAGTTAATTCACATAACCATTCTGAAACGTATTTTTTTGCATTTTGTGGTAATTATACGGTAATTCAGGGCGTCTTGTAGTGGCTACACAGCGTAAACCCACGTATCACATAGACTGCACCACTGGCCTGGTCCAAACTTTCTAACTCAGCAAATAAGGCCACTTTCACTGTCATAAACTGCACCATAGAGGGAAAGCAAGCTGTGGTTTGAGTTAGATTATCTGCTTTTCATCACTGAGCTCAGTGTCACTGCACTCCCCTACAACTGAGACCCATTATAAAAGACTCACACACAGTTCAGAGGGATGAACTTCTCCATCTTTGCTCTTAAGGCATGGGGAGGTAAATCTAAACACCACAGGGGTCAGCCTGGGGATGGGAACCCACAGTTGTTTACATTTGGTTGGTAAAAGGCTGGTCCACATTCACCCCAAGACTTAGCTGATAACTCAACACACCGCTGCAAGGAAACAAAAGAAGAGACAAAGGGTTTAGGACATGTTATTTGCTTTTTAAACAGCTTTGTTCAATAACACTCAATTAACTAGAGTGTTAATGACTATCAATTTGTTGACCAGCTTTCAAGATTAGTCACATTAGCTGTATTTTTCACTCAGCATTTGTTTTGTTGGAGTCACATTACTATGAGGTGGCTGGCTGATTCAGAGCAGACCTTCCACATTTCTCTGCACTAAAACTCCACCAAGAAACCACACAACAGTTTATTGAATTGACTTTATGAGAAAATAGATGTGTGGAGGTTAGACAGCAAAAATACAACTGAAATATATTGGGCTCTATTTTCGTGCCCACCGGCAGCGTGGCAGAGGGTGGTGCACCCCGTGCAGTAGTATTTTTGTCTGGCAGTGCCCGGCACACAGCCAGTTTGGTATTTTCCTTGAACTGAGGCACACTGAGGTTTGCCAAGCTGGGTGTGGTGGCCTGGTAGGGGGAGGTGTCGACAGAATCAGCTGGAGTAGTGACATTTTCATGCTCACCAGAGGCATGGATAATGTGCCGAAAGCTCACCGATTCAAAACTGGTCAGCTTTCAGCACAGGCAGAGCACAGCTGGTCTAGTGGTATTTTGATAGACAACAACAACCAGTATTCAATGTAACTATCTGAGTCAGTACATACATTTAGATATATCTCCAAATATTCTGATGCACAACTTATCTGATAAGTGTTTATAAGTAAATATTCAGTCTGGATTTAGGCTCACATACAAATATTATAATATTTAGTTGTGTGTGCCAAAATCATTTTGTTTTATTATCAAAAGAAAGAGCCAGGCCACAGAGCATGATGCGTCCTTTACGCACAGATGGTTCCGCTTTTAATGCCATTCTTGGAATTAGTTTATGTTGTGATCTGTGTTTTAACCCACAGAAAAGGGGGTTTGTCTTACCAGTGGGTCCAACATTACACACACCGAATCCATCTGTGCTTATTTGAGAGAGAGTGGAGGACGCCCTCAGCAGCGCTTACAGCGACACTCGTTGAGGGGCTGCCTTCTGTTGCCATCATTGGCAGTGCTGTCTTGAGTCATCTCTTGATTTCTTTGACTTCTTGACAAAAATTGTAATACGCCTTGCTGGTGGCGGATTTAAAGGTGAGGAGAGGAGCTGATGTGATTGATGAAAACAGGACTGTGTTAAACCCACTCCACGCCTGCTCCCCTCCCTCTTTCCAATTTACACCACTGGGAGATGCTGAGTTAGGGAGGGAGGCTACTCATGCCGGGCCGCGCTGCTTACCAAAATGCAACTTTTGAGGTCAAGCAGCTCCTGTTACACAAAAGTGTGATCCTGTATTATTGTTTTCTTGGTCAAAAGCATCTTTCATTAGAAATTCATGTGTGCACAACAACCACCTTTTTTGCTTGTTTGGTTTCTGTGCAGCTGAAAAATCAAAGAAGGCAGCGTCTAAGGGGGACCCACTCCTCTGTGGATACAAAAGCCACATTCTGAGATGACAAAACCAATATAATGTTTTATATCCAAGTGAGTACACTGGTTCAAACATTTTTTTTTTTTAAATACCAACCGCAATCAAGTCCGTCTCTCTAAAAGCTGTGAGATTTTACATATTGTTCCTCTAATAAATATCATTTAAAAGTGACATGGAAAACCAACAAAAGGAAGTCAAGCCTCCTTTACATGTAATCAAGATGATATCCATATTTGACATGCAGGAGGAAACACATGTCAGTGCCTGTCTTCATGGTTTTATTGTTTTGGTTCCTTAAGTGTGTGTGCCTTGGCTGGGAGGCTTGACAGTGGGGGACAGGGAGAACCATCGACAGCTGAAGCGTGTCCGCCTATCAGGTGCACAGTGCCTATGATTTGCCAGGCTCAGGTCCTAAATGTCAAGGAAATGAACGTGTTACAGAAACTTTTTGAGGGCCTAGAGTTATTCAGACCAAAACTGTCATTTGAACCAGGCCTTGAAGTCCCACTCTAATCATTTTTTACTTCTTAAGTATTCTCAGTGGTCTTTAAATTGTGATTGTGAAGTTTAGCCAAATCACGTTACCTGTGTCATTTTCCAGGGCTTTTCTTCTGCAGAGCTCCAGTAGCTCATTAGCAATTCGCCTCTGAGTTGTGGGCGGAGACAACGCTGCTCTACACACTCCTTCATGCTAGCTTGTAGCCTAACATTGCCGGTGTTGTAGAGGTGGCAGCTAATATAGGAGCTCTTCAGCTCTCGCACACTAATGTCTTTGGGGGCATGATGAAAGTTAATATCATAATTAGCTTTCTCAAAGGCATTGCAATCTGCTTAAGCACAGGCAGTGTTGGGAAAGTTCACTTTCTACCTGAACTAGTTCAAAGTTCAGTTCACACATTTTAAAATGAATCAGTTCATCATTCAAAATTCCACATTTTAAACTGAAGTTCATGGTTCCCAAAAATGAACTAATTTAGTTCTTTTGTTCTTTATTCAATACTTTGCTGCAAGCTATTATTTGTCAAGATTTTTTTATGGAGCCCAAATAGAACCACAGACAGCAATTATTTTAGCAGTATTTACACTGAAACTATGTCAGATTAATATTCATATCAATTTTTTAATCCTAAACCAACCAGGTTTACAATAGGGTTGAGAGGACAGCCCTCAGAATACTAGTATCTAAAGTGTTCCCAAATAAAGGCCTTCCACTGGGACAGGTAAACCCTTTGCTATAATTTGATTATAAGTCGGTGACAGCAGTGGGTTTACTTAAACTGGCTGCTGGTTAACCATCCAGTTTTGGAATTTTCAAAGACATTTAAAATGTTAGTAATCAAGAACTGTATTTCTGAGGTGAATCACTGCCAAATTTCAGTAATTACCAACTGGGTGGTAATTACTGAAATTACCATATTACTGTAATCACTGAAGGTGCAATTGCTCAAACAGTTTCTGGCCATTACAGAGTTGTGGCTCAATGAAGGAGTCACTTTAACAGGGACCTTCCCTGGTCTGCTGTCATAGTAGCTCCTCACAAGAGGTCATTGTTGTAGGTTTTTTTTCCACCTTTTTTTTTTTTTTAATTGTGTATGTGGTGTATGTAGTTTAAGGCAGTTGTCTCCAACCACCCATAGCACCGGCTGAAGGCAGTCAGCATTCACCACTGCAAGACAGTGTAGGTGCACAAGTATCACCATCACGTGATGGAAGAGGACTGAGGGAGAGCTTGGTTCAGGTGGAAGAGACTCCTGTCTTTGTTTGCCCTCTCTATGGCTGTGTGCTGTGTGAGTGGCAGCACAGTGTCATTGGATTGATTTCCATTTATTGTGCGCCTCTTTGTGTTGTTGGTCTCCACTGTCAGCCATTTGGGGGTATTATTAGTATTATTATCATCATTATTATTATTTATATGGGTTGATCATTTCCCTTAATTAGGAAGCACCTGCATGCGTCTTCCTGTTAGGTTAACCCATGCTCATGCTGTTGGTAACATTTAAAGGGTTAAGTATAATGACATTGACGTTGTCCTTGAGTTACAGTCACGCATCCATGTGATAGGAAGCTGCACTAACTTAATATTAAAACACAAAATTACGTTTCATGAACTTTATACTTTTCCTTGTGGAGGCAGAAATGCTTATCCAAAATGAACGTATTTTGTGAGTTAAGACAACTTTCTTCATTTTTAATTTTGATCAACTTCTTGAAATAAGTTATCATCTTAATAAAACAATGGAGATGTAACAAATAGTATTTTTATGCTGGAAAAGCTCGTGTTTTTAAGTCATACTAACTAACCTCCTGAATCCTTTCTGTAGTGTGGAGTGTGTGAGTCAGGTGACAGTGCCCTCCTCTCTCATCCATCCTATAAGCAGAGGGATCCTCCTAGTGACAACTCTAGCAGACACAAAATCATCCAGCAATCTTGTTTCATGGCAGTTCTACAAATGGCTTGGTTGATCTGGTGCTCTGAGCTCAAAGATGATATCCCCACAGGACATGAACCACTTCCCCTCCACAAATAGGAAGAACCAAGAGGCTTAGCCTTCTGGTTTTCTGACTCAAAGACTGGGTTGTCTGTTTTTATGAAGTCTGGAAACCAACAGTGGCCTTCTCGTCACTTACTCCTCAGGAAGCCTTTAAATCCAGCTGCCAGTCCAAATTGAAATCCCTACATTTGAACTTTTATCCCCCTCCTCAGAAAAGCATGCCTCAGCCACTTTGGTCTCATCCTGTGAAGAGATGGTCTTCCTCACCATCACAGTTTTGTGCCCCTGTGTGAAACCTATCACAACTTTTTTAGAGGTGCAGTTAAGAATACTGAATACCCTGACCATAAAAAGAAGTCGTGGTCAGCTCCCGTCTTCACCATTAGATTTTATTCATTTACGGTTGCCTCCTTTTTGTCATCGCTGTGTTCCTCCTCTCTCCTCATTTACCATCTCCCTTATTTTTGGTGCTTTTTATGACTGTTATTTTATTTTGTTACAGGCTCTTAATTCCCCACCAACAGGGGTTGAAGCACTGCTCCTGCAAAGTGATGAGGAGCTCTGCAGACTGCAGCACAGGCCAACACCAAAATTGCTTCACCCATCTTGTTTATTCACAGATGGTAAAAACCTGCTAATTTTAACATGCTGTTTCTAGCACTTGTAAATATATTGTCATTAGCTCCCTTGCTGTGTTCACATCTGTTTTAGTGGGGAAGCTGGCAGGGTGGGACAAGGGTGTGATGCTTTGTGGATGTGTTATATTTGTGACCCATCTGCACTGAGCAGAGAAGTCAAAGAAGAATGAGCGGCTTGCACTCAGCAAAAGAAAATAGTTTGGCTGAGACCATGAAACTGAGAGGCTGATTGTAATTTGCCAGTAAAGGACAATAATGAAAGGTAAACCTCACAGGTAAGACTGCTGGTGGCTCTGTCTCATTTGGAGGTATCTTTAATCCAACTTTATTCATTTATTGTCAGGTTTTGTGATCAGAACAATCCTAATGTAGCTGAAGTCAAAATACTAACACGGCAAGGAAAAGTTCCTGATCTGGTCCCAGGACTCAGGATCATATTAATTTTATTCATTTCCCCTCAGTTATCACAGTTTACCCAACAGGAGATTTAACTAAACCTCAACGGTTGGTTTCAAGGACAGAGAGGGAGCTGTTTATTACCCTTCTGTGACTGACTCCATTACTGCCTGTCTGTATAAACATCCATAGGATCTGTTTTCGTTCCAGGTGGCGAAGTGGCGCACTCCACACAGTGGTATTTTAGTCCAGTGGAGTCAGTTTGGTCTTCTGGTAGACTGAGGCACACTGAGATACACCAAGATGGGTGTGGCGGTGCAGTAGGGGGAGGTGTCAACAGAATCAGCTGGCGCAGTGACATTTTCGTGCCTGTAGAAAGTGCGCTGAAAGCTTGCAGATGGAGCTTTTTTGTCTCAGTTATCTTCATTATTTCAAAGTTGCCTCTGAATGGGCCTAAAGTCATCCTCTGAGCCAAAGGAGCATCCAAAGGACCCTGAAGGTGCTGGCGCTGCATTCAGGCCTGTGTGCCGTGACTCCTGGCCCATCTTTTACCTGACTTTTACCTTAACTCAACCATAAGTTTAACTAACTTATAATTTTACAGTGTAATAACTGTAAATCCTTGTTTTCTAGTAACTCTCCAGCAAGCTGTACAAACGAATCATTTTACATTGTACTAACTCTGAATTCTTACACAGTAAATCCACTTAAATTTGGTTAAAGTTAGTACAGCTGAATAATTTAAGAGTAATTTGAAACCGCACACTGCAATAGTGAATAATGTAACTAAACTTTATCATTTAGAAGCAGTAACTTCAAATGTATAAATAATTACAGATTCAACATTTAAAACATTTCTTTTATTTGTACTTCAGGTCTCAAAATAACCAGCAAATGCTTTTGTAACACTGCTCAATACACTGGGACCCTTAACAAACACCGAATCTTAACGTGTAAAAAGTTAAAGAAAAGTGCAAAATAAATGTAAGAACATCAGAGTTGAGTGTGAGGAACAGGAAGAGTAAATTAAAATGGTGTTGGTGTGACAGGTGGAAACTTTCTGAGGTTCATCCAGGATCCAACATTATCAGTTAACTTGTGGATTCACTGAAGGAGTTTGTTTTTGAGGGATCTGACCCTGCAGAGAGGTCTGTACCAACTTCCATGAAAACCTTCTGAACAATTTCAAATGTGTTCCTGAGATCTTTGGAGTACTTAAGGTTTAAAGCATAGATCAGTCCAAAGAGGTCAACAAAAGCAGTTGGTGGGTCAGGGAGATCTTGAAGGACAATCTCTTCTTCAACAACAACAACAGAAACACTCTCAACACTTTGTGGAGCTGCACTGTAATCTTCCTCCAACACAATGAAGATACCAGAAAAGAGGCCCTTCTTCTGCTCCTCTTCTGGATCAGTGTCCTTGTGTTGACAGACAGGAAAAGACCAACATGTGAAGTGCAGGCATTAGTCATTATAATGCTGTAAATCAGAATAAGCTATAAGCTATTACTTTAAAACCAAATTATAAAATAATATTTTTCCAAACAGAAATAATCTGAATTTGACATATAACCTTTTTCTATCCCATAATTTATGACCAATACTTGAACCCCCATACACACATCAACTGACGTCAATCAGGCGACATCAAGTCAAGCCACGGTACATCTACGAGAGCACTTCTCACACCTGTGAGTTCTGTGTTGGTTGGATGTTGTTTTGTTGTAGAGCAGGCAAACCCATGTCACCTGAGCTGCATCAAATCAACATCTGTCACTTTAATTGGTCATAAGTGCTCATAAGACATAGTTTCCCAGCAGCTGACCCCTGCACTCATTCTCAGTGCAGATTTATAACACTGACAAGCATACCAAAGAAGCAGGGCTATAATGATTACAGGCAGCATCTCTCCTGAAGCCTGTTTGTCTCTTGAGACCGTGGACCGTGTAAAGAATGGACGTCATCCGCCTCCTCGCTGGGTGAAGCCTCCGCGAGAACAGTACCCCCTGGTGATGAATATAAATGTTTCTCCCCCGTGGTCGGGAGGTTGACATGTAGTTATTGTAAGACTAGTTTGTGCTCAAGTCCTCGTTTTTCTGTGCAGACTCTCCCACCAAATGAGTAGAATACTATTCTGCTAATGGTGGTTTCAGGGAGTGGAGGAAATCCCCAAAATACTGAGAGAACATCGGGTTTCCACCTGAAAATAAGAGATGCATGTTTCATTCGTCTTTGGAAAGCATAGTGGTTTTATTTCAACCGTCCTCAAAAGGCATTACCTCAGCTGATTGGTGGGGACTAAGAATTGTGTTTGATTTTGCAGATAATTGATATCATGCTGGTAAAATAATGTGGGACTGTGAATTTAATGGTAGAAGGACAACTGATAGGGCCTACGCCTCGAAAACTGTAAAATTCGGCAGAGAGATCATGAAGCATAAAACAACCCAAACAATTCAACAGTTATCTGACAAAAGGACGCTGAGATGAATACTGTGATACTCTCTGATTTAAAAGTACTAAAGAAATCACAGAGCCAACAGTTCAGCGTTTCAGTTCAGTCTTATTGTCATCTTTGTGAATATTCGCTGTGATCCACTTCAGTATTTTTTATCAGATCATTATCTGGTATATAGTGATGAGAAAGGCAGTTCTTTTAGATGTAATGAATCACCAGAATCAGTTCAGTGAAAAGATTTGTTCAAAAGATTCGTTCACCGAATCACCGAATCATTCAGCGATTGGCAGAAGGAGCCTGCGACTCTGACCTCCTGAACTGATACACAGTTCAGGTTTCAGTTAAGTTCAGCGTCTGGACCCGAGAGACAAGAGTGGTGTGGCTGCGTGTGCGCTCCCCCCCTCCCTCCCTCACTTAGAAGATTCGTTCTTTTGGACCAATCATTCACGAACGAAAGAATTCTAAAGGTGTAACCCTGAGTGACTGGCAACTTTTATTTCAGTGCTTCGGTGGTTGTCATGGTAACAAGTCACCAGTGAGCAGGGTCACCCCCTAAGCCACAATCATGTATCGTGTTTGAGCTGCTTTTTTTAGTCAGGTAGCGACCAAATGACCACAATTTGTCCAATTATTGAGGTCGATATAACTTCAGACATCATCCCAATGAGGCGTCCCACCCGGAGCGTGTTTTCTGGTTTGATTTGAAATCGATATGGACACAAAGCAAACCCACTAATATCAGAGTGGACCATAACTAATGAAAAGACGGTAGCTTACCTCTGTAGTACCTGAACAGATGGAACAGAGAAGAGTTGTGGTTCTGAAGCCTTCCACCATCTGGACGGGGAACAAGACACTGAAGAAAAATTCAAGATTAGTATAAAAGTGTGTTGGCACTAACACGGGAAATCTCCTGTGAAGGTATTTTCATTTCACATGAAAGTTCTTACAACAGACAAAGGAGGCCCTCATACATATAGACCAGTCACTACGTCGTTATTGCAAACATTCCCAACAAACCACAGACTGTATCGAAGGATAGACAAAGCATCTCCACCTCCTCTCATCGTACAACAGTGATGCCGAAGTCCTGCTGATGGGTGATGGAGTCTGGACCCACAGTCAGCTCAGTAGAGATCAGCTGGCCGAGCTTCTGTGGTGACGTCAAATCCTGTCACCACCAAAGACACACAGACGGTATATCTTATTATTAAATGGAAAATACTCCTCAGTCCAAACTCTGCAGCTGAACAACATTTTAGCGCAGCTGTTAATTGTGAAATTAAAGCACCAAATATCCAGTTGACTGTAAATGCATGCAGAAGAACATCAAACTGCAGCTTCTTAAGTCTTGAGTCTGGCACAGGCAGCCAAAGAATCCCCTGGTACCATTTTAAAATATCTCTTTTAAACATGGTACCAAAATAACGTCCCCATCCATCGTTTAAACCTCAGCCAGCACAAAGAAACACTTTTGGTCACAGAATATAATTTATTAAAACTGAAAAAGTCTTTTATTTTTTATAGTGGGTCTTTTTAAAGCTGAGGAATGAAGTCCTGGACTTTTAGCAAAGATAACCAGAGCTATTTCAGAGGAATTAAAGGCACAGTCTGTGCTGTTGGAGGAGATAAGATGTACTTTATTGATTCCTTTTAAAAAATGATAGAGGCTACCTGCTCCTAAAAAGGCTTTTTTTATGATAATAAAACCTTTTTTTTAATGTTTAGATAATTATTTACTGTTTTTTTACATACTCGTAAACATTGTTTGTCTTTTCTGCCAAGTCTTTGCTGCTAATTGTAACTAGATGTTGAACTTTGTACCTTTAACAGATTAACAGATTTCAAATGCAGAATAGTAAATATCTCTTGACATCAACAATGTCGATCTGCAGCTAATAATAAAAACCCCGAAGTTTGGTTACCATGCCATCTTAACTTAAAGGCCTCTGAACATTCGTAAAGGAAACATGAGAAAGTTTTAATAATATTGCTGATTATAGAGTCCCAGCCCAAGAGGGTGTCGTAGCGTGATGCTTTCAATTCACTCAACACAGAGCCTGGAGGGAAGTCCAAGGTAACACGGATTCCTCTACATTTTTTATCACCTTTCTTCCTGCTTTATTATGGTTAAGTTGACAGCTCTGCTGTTGGGATTACACAGCCATTCGACCGCAAAATAAGTTTTAAATTCTGTCATTTATGCAAAGTTGGGGAGCTGAGAAAACTTCTTTGTGTTATTCTTTTTCCAGAGTCAAACTCCTTATATGTGGACAATGTTTGGCCAATAAAGCAGATCCTGATTCATTCTGATTATTTTCCAACTTGTGAAGTTTGATCTGCTTAAATGTCGAGTGAGTCAATAATGACAGTGGTCAAAGTCCTCCTTGTTGTGGTCCACCTCTGCTTTATTTCCATT